AGAAAATAAATTTCCCTGAGTGTGACAGTAATGTTGAAATACTTGGATGTGCTCTGATATTCTCTCCCACTGACTTGTTGCTGGTTGTCTCACCATTTACAGCTTTAATATGTCCGTGCACGCATGAACGTGGGTGTTAAAAAGAAATCACTTCCATTCCTCGCACAAAGGCCCAAATGGAGCATCTATTCTTCATACAGACCTACGCAATTCTTTTTCAAAAAAAGAGCAGAAAACGAAAGTGAAGAAGTTATACTGTTGACTAGGGTGGCATCCTGTGTGAGGCAGCTGCACATAGATGAGATGTCAAGACGGCACCACTTTGATCTGAAAGCTGCTGGTGTTAAACTTCAACCCAAGCTGAGAGAACCCAACTTAAACACTGACTTTCGCTTACATTCCCAAACACATACTTGTAGGCAGCTTTTGTTGATTGTGAGAGAAGTCAATACGTCCCTTCAGCTGTCAGCTGCTTTTAACTTCTTGAAATCTTTTTCTGTCTGTCTGGTCTCCATGGCTTCATTCACTAAAATTGTTTCAGACCCGAGACAAAGGCACATATTTAAAACATTACATTTAAAACACAGTTGTATATATAATTTATGATAAATATTCTGCAAGTATAGATCTTAATGTCATTCAAGCACATAAGAATATAATTGAAAAGTTATCTACTTTGCACTTCAATAAAAAAAAAATTGTATAATTCAAAACACAATGTTATAAAATTCAGTTTTTTATTTAGAAAATGACAGTGGTTATAGCTTTAAACTATTAAGCATAGAACACTTAGTTTCTTAGATAATTTCACGTATCATCACATAAGCTTAACGAGAAATTAGATGTAGTATCATGGCATAGACAAGACTAATAGATTGTCAGTGCTGCAGTGGATACTAAATAACACACTGAGAAAGGTAAGCTATAAAAAGTAATTGGTCAAGATGTATTCAAGCTGTATTCAAGCAAATCTGCTAAAGTGGGAAAAAAAAACGTGCACAAGCATATCCTCAAAAGCCTAGTGAGCCCATTCCAAAGTATGGTTGAGACTTACGAGGTCTGAATTGGCATCAGTGAAATGAGATCCATCACATAAAAACACATCTACTAGCACATAGGCACCATCAGAAACACCACATGTGCCTAAAACGAATAAGGAATTAACTGTTGCTGGGTGGTTCAAACTCTTCTTTCAAACTGGAAGTACATTTTGCAACTCATTGGGAGATAAAGTCAGAGATGGCAGGAAGAGTGGGGATGCATACAAACCAAAATGCTTGAAGGTCAGTTATTTGGGGTGCCATATGTCTTCCATTATGGAATTTAGGAATTCCTGCAATTAGGCTCTTCTGTAGGAAGGGGGAACAAAGTCCAAGATAGTGTGCACCCAAAAGCACATTTTTGCAACTCAGAAATTAGCTTAAAAAATTAACAGCTGCTGTCAGCGTATAGATAGGTGCAATAAGCTGCTTCAAGAAGAAATAATTGCACTCTGCCTCAGATTACTGCTCACGGATTGAAGAAATTGGGCGTTTGTTTACTGTGCAGGTACATCTCGGTCAATTTAGTTGCTTCCTGAAGGGAGCATGTTAACACTTTCTTATGTAGAATTATAATGTCCACTAAAAAGAGGGCTGTCCATTAAAAAGAGGGCTTTTACTCAGAGTGAAGAATCCATGAGCGAAATTTATCAAGCAAAATTCCACTTTCGGTATGATTTTGATGAAGGAATAGTATCATAACATTTAAGCACAGTTAAGCATTGTTGATGCTTGATACGTCCGCAAGGTCCACGCTGCAAGGTCCTTCCACTTCCCACTGCGTGGACTCTGTACAGACAGAATTTCCGCACGAAGGACATAAGAACATTTGTAACTACACAGAGATATCCACACAGAAAACATGGCGAGCGAGAAGCAGCTCCTGCTGGCGAGGGTTCCCAAATGTAAGCATATAGTGAACTCCCATGATTTGGCCCACAAATATAACCATTATCTACAGTCTGTGGAAAAACTCCAGGAAAGAAATGAGGCTCTAGAAGGCATGAATGCTAAAGTTGTAAACGGCTGTTTTTTCTACTTCCTTGTGTAGTGATGTTGTCCGCTTGCTGTTTGTAATGAACTTTACATTAGTGTAAAGCAGTTACTCTCCTTGAGCTTTCCCTTTTCTCTGTCTCACACATTCCATGATTAATTGTGCTGTAATCGGGTATAGTGCTTTGGATAAAAGGATGTGCTCCAAAATTGATGAAAAAACACAGAGTAGAAAATGCCAAACAGAACTGTTATTCATATTATTCATGTTGCTCTGAGATCCAGACAGAAATGTAGCACAAACACATCCTCAGTCTGTGTAAATAAAAGCTTTTGTGGTCCTCTAAGCGAGAGGTTTCAGATTATATTTACATTGTGGGATTCCATTTAGTCTGGTTGTGTGTGTTTCTCTGCAAAAGTTAAAAAAGGCACTTCAGGCATTAATGTATAGGTAAGCGTTTATGAAATATTTTACCTTATATGGTAGTTTATACATGGATCTCAAAGGTTCCTACATGCTGTGAGTAGTGGTGGCAAAAGAATTTGTAGTTCATTAACCTTATCATTTTGTTTACTAATGTTTTTTAACAAACTTCTGACAAAGCTGTTATTTATGTAATTAACATACTCTTTTATTTATAAATATTTTATTTAAAAAACATATTGATTGAAAATAAGCAGACTTCTGAGAACATTCAGTTGTTTAAATGTATTAAGGGTTATTGGAGTAGATGAGGCTTTAGATTTTAGTTCAAAAGGGTAAAAATGAAACCTTTTCCTGCCATAGTGAGACACGCTGCAAGGAGTGGATGTAACTTGTAATATCACCAGATGTAATCAGAATCTGTAGAATATGAGGATGTATGAAAACTTTTGCATGGCACTCTATTATGCAAACCTGCACATGCAGAGAGAAACCATCTGAAAGATGAAAGACAAACATGTGAAGACTGACATCTGTGTTCTGTTTAATGCTCCAATAATACCCTAAAAACACCAATAATCGGCAGGCACACAAAACCACACCCACACAGGCACACATTGGAATGTTTTAAACAGTTTTACAAAGGCAATTCTTTAGGAATTCTGTTATACTGGGGCAATTTATCTTTATTTTTCCTAAACAAAGCTTAGGTGACTGTTCGAGCACCATGGTTAAAGACATTAAAGACAGCATTACACATGCACATGTCGGTCATATGCAGTCAAGGTCTGGAATATCTTAAAATCTTGAAACCTAATCTTGAAATGCAGTTATATATATATATATATATATATATATATATATATATATATATATATATTTTTTTTTTTTTTTTTTTTTTTTTATATATACATTTCAGTTTATTTGTATAGCTCCAATTACCTACATGTCATATAATGACACTTTACACAAATGGTAAATGCTGTATGTTAATATGAACTTAGTATGACATGAGCGATTTTAAAGTCTGAAATGCTGCCATCACCATTCACTATACATCTCGGAAAGAGGCGGAAACGCCCTTCCAAAATAAAAGGTGGGTATCTCAATGCATGTCTATGTGTTTCACTCAAAAACAATAGTTAAAGGAGAATTCCGGTTTTTAACACTTTTAGCCCATTTTCTGTAGTGTCCAGGATGAAATCGAATGATCGACACCAAAATTTAGACAATTGGTCCTGTCTCTGCTTTTTGGCTCATGCAGAATCCCCCCCTGGCTGCTTCAGAATGGCTTCCACTGTGCATGTCCGATAATGTCCTTAAAACAACCTTAAACGTTCTTTTTTTAAAATATGCTACTCACCGGGTCGTCAGCGCTGTTCAATGACGTTCCAAAAAAAGTTTCGTAAAGAAAAAACGTTCCTGTAGTGTTTTATTTAGCATTTTGTAAATCCCATTGAGTTCTGTTGGAATAGTCAATATCCCTCCGCCACCGGAAACGGAAATGGGGCCTGTTTACGCTTAGTTGTAGTCTTTTCGCAAGGCCCAAGTGTTTCTGCACTCCGACGTCGAGGTGCTAACGTCTCTGTTAAACACTTTAAAAAACTCTGAAAATGGAATACGAAAGGTGGATTCTTGAGGAGGACATATTGGACTTTGAGTTTGACGGTAGAGGATACCGTTTTGAACCGGAATATACTGAGGAGGAGTATATAGAGACATTGTCGCCAACTAGTGGTCTGGAGTGTGCAACGCTTCAGATTCGAACGGGAAGCGGAAGTTTATAAGCGGTTGTGATGTATCGGAAAAAATAGTTCTGGGATTTACAAAATGCTAAATAAAACAAGACAGGAACGGTTTTTCTTCACGAAACTTTTTTTGGAACGTCATTGAACAGCGCTGACGACCCGGTGAGTAGCATATTTAAAAAAAAGAATGTTTAAGGTTGTTTTAAGGACATTATCGGACATGCACAATGGAAGCCATTCTGAAGCAGCCAGGGGGGGATTCTGCATGAGCCAAAAAGCAGAGACAGGACCAATTGTCAAAATTTTGGTGTCGATCATGCGATTTCATCCTGGACACTACAGAAAATGGGCTAAAAGTGTTAAAAACCGGAATTCTCCTTTAAATAAATGATGGGTATGGCAAGTCTATATATCATAAATTCAACTGTACCGCCTTTACATTCAAGATATCTCAAATTGTTTTATGACTAGACTTTTTAGCGATGTAAGATAGCTCTAATTATATTTTGACTAGATCAAATACCTATTCGATATATCTCTAATTATATTCTGACTAGTCGAAATAACATCCGATTTACCATTAACTTGTATGGAGACGTCAATTTAAGATATCTAGAATGAATTACTGACTATGGATGGTCAGACGAAACCAAATTTATGTTAAAACGGCTTGCCATATTATTGGGTTAATTTAGATTAGCTGCATTCACTGCACATGTTCCGTTTATAGGCTTTTACTTTTCTAACTACCGGAAGTCACCTCCTTTTGACTGTGTGGCTTGACTGTGGTGCGTAATTAAACTCTCGGCCAGCATCTCTCCTGTCACAGTGCCTTTCAGACTTTACTGTGAGCAGAACCCGAACGTGGAGATTTTAACACAGAAACATGGATGTAAAGCTGCTGACCGTCGTGGCTGTCCTGATCATAGTGATATACTCACCTCCCTCTGAAGGTACTGACACATTTTCTTATTTGTGGCTAATGTTCAGCCTGAACTTTAATGTTAATTGAGTGATAATCTCCAACTTTGATGGTATATGTAAAATAAGTATATACGTGAATATTCTGGAAAAAGTCTTTTATAATATATTTTACACTTTGTTTTACCTTTATAAGTAGTGAAAGCGCAGTTTTGGACAAGCTTTCATTTGAATCAATGATGACATGGCCTCTGATAATACTTTATTATATATTCTAAGCGTAAACATTTAATTAAATTTAAACTTAATAAGGCTGATCCATTAAATAGTTTTAGATTTTTGATATTTATTGATGTGGGTATAGTGGAGATTATTCTGAAGCGTGGATAAGTTGATTTTCTTCCGTGCGTAAAAGCGCTGACACGCTGCACATGTGGCTCTTGCTGCATGGAGAAGCCTAAACCCTCTTTTGATCACTGATCAACACCTTATCAACGCCTGCCCTCTTTGTTTTTCTTTAATTACACACAAGTGAGGCGTTACGGGCCCCAGTCCGCGCGGCGTCAGCGCGCAGCCCTTATGTTGGCTGATACCCCATTATTATTATGGTAATTCCCGTTAGATCAGGTGTAAAAAAAATAATTTGCATAAGATTTAATCTGGTGCAACACATCAAGCCATCTGCTATCCTACAGCGTGACAAAAGGCTATTTTTATGGATCATCTTTTGCATTATCCTACAGGATAAACGGTAATTGAAGCTATTACCCTAATTGTTTCTTCGGAAATACTCAAGAACAAAGTATAATTTTCGAAAATAGTTTCCTTTGAATTTCGCAGTAGAACTGAAGGACGTTTTGAGAGAACATGCATTTATTTGTCCATATAGATCAAGCATGAACGTCTGTACATAAACAGGAAACCTAACGCTGTAGCGGAATGCCCTTTTATCAGAGAGGACCACACAGTACCAAATTACGCAAAGACTGATTCTTCCTTTTTTGTGGAATCAAAACACGAATAAGAGGCGGATGAGATGGGATATTTCCAGAGGCGGTCATCAAGGAGGTTTCATGACCCCGCAGGAGTAATGAGCCGTAAATGCGGGCTGCAGATCTAAACATAACAATGCATTTCTTTGTTGATGTTCAGCTGATTAAGGTGCAGGACTTATGATTCAGCTTGTCAGTCCATAAATTCTGGAATTTTTGTTATTTTATTTACTTTGTTCCTGGATACATTTCAAGTTATTTATTGCTTATAAATGTTTAATCCTGCTCCTTTTCAACAGGCTGTTTATAATGTAAGATCCCTGATGCAATCATCAGTTTAATCATTTATCACTGTGAAGATCCTTTCCTGCAAATTCTGTCTTGTGTGACTTATCTGCCCTTTGGTTCCTCAGCAAAGCCCATCAGCCTGGTGGAGCGATGCTACTGCCGTGCAACTGTTAACAGCCTCCCAAAAGGTTATATCCGAGAGCTCAGATTCATCCACACACCTCACTGCCCTTTCCAAGTGATGTAAGTCTTTTTTGGTTTCCTGTTTTCTTAATTAATGTTCAGTTGAAAAGCAAATTTTTGTCTTAGTCCACACTGAAAACTTTTTTGCTTGTCTTTGGGTATTTCTCACCATCAATCTCAGATAAGTGACAGGCTAGAGAAAGGAGTTAGGCATGCATATGTACACACCCGCCCCTTGTCAGTCGCTCACACATACACTCAGAAAGTGAGACGTTTGTACAACTGGCTCACTGAGGCATCCACAGGAAGTGATCCTGTTGAAGGTGAAAAAGAGAAGGGAAATAGATTCATGTAAGCTTTTTGCAGGAAAACATCAATACAAACTATTGCTTATTTCTACAATTCATGCAATACACATTTAATACCGACAGTACACCTCTATGGACTAACAGCTTTAAAAGTAACAGCTTCGTAGAACATGTTATGCTTGGAAAATAAAATACCTGTGTTGTCACCAGAGGTGGTGTTAGCAGCGACTGTCAAAATTTCTATTAAAAAATAGATTTGGAGTTTATTTTTCCAAAAATTTGTTAGCATCTTAATTAACATTTAGCATAGTTTCCACTGCTGTGTTCTAAAATACAGATCCTTATCTAACACCTGAGATCTTCAAAAAATCCTGATCCAGCATGATTTCACGCTGAAACATGCTGGATTCTCATTCTCAGTTCAGCCTTCCTATTACCTCCCCAAAGCCTTGCACTCTCATCCTCTTTCTCACCCTAAACGACCTGCAGACATGTCATGACATGTAGAAAGTACATCTCAGTGCTTCATCTTTACTTAATTGTAAACACATTACTGATACCAAACATAGCTTCTTCTTCTTTTTCCGTGAGCAAAGAAATTTATAAGAAGAGTGAAGAGATGTTGTGGTTCATCAATATAATTAAGGGGTCTTATAATGCCACAATAAGAGGAGAGAACAATTTTTACGCAGACATTGAGCTTAAAAAGTTATTTATCTGCAAAAGAGATATTTTGGATTTATTTTGATTAATCAATTATTGACATTATCATCTGTTTATTTAGTAATTCATCAATTGTCAAGTGGAATATATAGATGCTAAAAGGCGCCACTGGCAGTAATTAGACCAGAATTATACAAAGTATTAATAAATATTTAATTTTGAAATGAAAAGTTTTTTTCTACTTAACATGTTCCATCTAGAACTTCTCAAGTGGTAAAGATTTAACTTTAACTTAATCTGTAAAAAAAAATCTCTAAAACCAATTGATAACTTGATTGCAAATTGATAACAAGTTGCATTGTTTGATATGCCAATCTGAATCTCTGTCAATCGTTATAATAAGGCATGAGGTTATAAATCTAATTAATTTTATCTGCTGGAGCAGACATCAGTTTTTTATCAGCAATACTATCTCAAGTCACTGGGATTTCAGTAAAAGCCTTTTTTGCCTGTGACTAACTAACACAACAGTGTAAAAGAACCCTGCTAAGTGTCAAATTACCCACCGCTGATCTTAATTTGATTTGATAAATCATGTCAACTTACTTACAACTTTTTCCCCTTTTCCTATCAGTGCCAAGTTGAAGTCAGGCAAGGAGGTGTGTTTGAACCCAGAAATGCCATGGCTGCAGCATTACCTGAAGAATGCCATCAGAAAGTGAGTACCAGCAACACAATACACATTTCCGTCTGCAGTTGTTGGGTTTTAACTTGTAAGTCATTTAATGCAACTCTTTAACTCAGGAGATTTAAGCAGAGAGGGTCCAAATGCGCATTTGGACAACCCATTGACAGACTTTTGTGAGAGAAAGTGGTTGCATAAACTTAAAACATGCAGCTACACGAGCAAGTGGGAGTAGATACTAATTCCACTTTAGAATAAAAGCAGTGGTTTAATGGAGGGACAAGACACCCACTTTCATACTGCATTCAATTAAAGGGGGTCAGGGGTGGTGGGCATCCAAAAGAAGTTTTACGGTGGTAAAGTACAAAAAAAAAAAATAGAAAACACTCATGCATAAATCCAACTGCTGCTGAGTGCAATATAAAACCGACTGATGCACACACAGTCCAGCAGTCGGGCTGTCTCAGAGGGTGATGGCTTACTCCTTGTGTTGGCAAGGTGTGAACTGCTCACAGTTTAACAGAGGGCTGGCTTCAAGTGTAGATTATACCCTGTTTACAATAGATCAGGACCTAATGTGTTTCCAATTACACATGCAGCCAAAGGGGAGTTGAAAAGGATAAACCTTTTTGCAGTGGGTAAAATGCACAACCTGAATCTCATACATTGTCCTCCTCTTTAATCTGTTAAAATAAACATTGGTTATTTTATGAAAAAGAAAAAGGATTATCACAACAACAAAAAGGGCCTACCCAAGTTAAAAAAATTAATATCTTTATATACTGTTTCTTTCAATTATAGAAGGCTTAATAACTTAATATTCTATTCCAGTATAGACATGAAAGTGTTCAGGTTAATAAGAGAATCATGTGATTGCCAGATGTTTCATTCTTTATTTCAACAATCTATATATTACAAAAATGCACTTTAAAATGTACCTTTTTTATCTAAAAAGGCTGATTCTGAACACAGCTGATAAGTAATTTTTTCATAAGTATTTAATGCATAGAAATCAACTTAATTTTTCCCCCAAAACAATTAAATCAACTTTTAACATACAAAGTCTAAATGGTAAATCAAGGTTTTCTTCTCTGGTCACTTTTATTCAATATCTACATAATTTCCCTTGGTGAAATAATTGAGAACTTTGATATCGCTTGCTATATAATGCCATGATGCAAAAGTCTATTCCTGCTTCTATTATTAAACTAAATTAATTTTCCTTATGGTCTCCTCTGCTCTTTACATAATGGTGCTGAGTTCCAAATCAGTGCACAGACACAGAGGACAATGGACATTGCCTGGTTACTGTATTCTGCTTTTCCAGGACTTTAAAATGTCAACATTTCAAAATTATATGCTTTCTTATTAAAATCATACATAAGGTCTAAAGTTGTTTAAAGCATGAAAATTTCCTTTGACTGTAGTAGGTAATATAGTTGGAGATAAATTTGAAGTTTTTACATTTAATAACATTTAAATGGGGCGGACAGGGGTTAGGCCCGTTCGTCTGGTTCAGTTTGGAAGTTTATAAGCCAAAACAAGACATGGTTTTTGGTCCATTCCATAAAGCCTCTAACTCAATGCTATTTCTGACATTTTGAATTGGAAAAAGCTTCCTGGATGGGAAGCGAAACGTCTTCAAACTTGGAAACAAAGTCCAGTGGATTGTTTTTTTTTTTTTTTTTTACTTTTTTGGAATGACTATGACCTGGATGACTGAGAATCCTCACCTGCATTTATTTACAATAAAGATCTCAAAACCCAATTTCCATAAAATAAATCTTCCGGCAAACATAATATTTGTGATTTGAAAATTACTTTCAACCTATCCCTACCATCAATATTTTAGTTAGATTAAAATCATACAAATACAATGGTAGTAAATATCATAGATTATAATTTTTATATATGATGTAATTTGCTTATTACCCTTGTACGCTCGCTGTTGTTGTATAAAGAGGATCTACAAGGAACAACAATGTTATTCAAAATATGCTGACATTTTAAATATTTCGCCATTTTTGGCATTTTACTTTGAATTTTCCCAGTGGTCAGTATTTTTCTTAAATCTCTTGCTGTGACTGAAAAGTGTATTAAAAAAAAACATTGTTCCTTTCTGCCAAATGTGCATAATTAAGAACATAATTCATATATTTTTATTGACCAAAGATATTGTAACTTAAAAAAAACATTTCTGTTTCAAGTAAAGTAGTGTGATGGTGAACATTTTGGTATTTGATTTAAATAAAAAGCATTTTGATCATTTTTTGAAGTTCTGTTTTATTTACTTTGTAAAAATACCTTGAAACTGTGGTTCAGATTTAATTTTGATAATTATTCTAATGTTCATTAGAATCTTAAGACAGTAGAGATGTTCCTGTGAGATAAAAGCAATCCCACCCACCATGATTCCTTTAAGTATTACCGTAGTATGAACTTCCACCATAATGCTGTAAACCTCGTAGAAGCCCTACCATAAAACCACAACCCATTATGGTCACTGAATCAGTGTATCTATTATATCGATGAGTAAATGGTTAAGAATTTCCGACAACGAAGAGAAGAAGATAGTCATTGTTTTTTTGTTTTTTCTTTTAACTTGCCTAAATAGATTATATGATGCTAAAAGCCACAAAAGATGCATAGTTAATTAATTAGTCATGATGTTTTTATTTCAGCAACACTGCCTGAATGAATATTTTAGAGAAAAATATTTATCTTCTGGAACCCAGTCAATTTTGCAGTGTTTAAGTAACTATTTAAGAGTTAAGTTTAATGGAAACTCGAGTGCATTTGGTCCCATTCTGAATTATTTTAAATAAATTCTCTACATAGTGTATATCTTAGTCCAGTTGTTGTTGTAATAACTCTAAAAGAGTCAATGTACTTTGACACTGCATATTTAACACTGTTGATTTTAGCCTTTAAAAAAAACTATACTTACTCTCTGTTTGTAAAAACAAATTTTTTCATAGACCTAAGTGTTACCTGATAGGTAAAAAATAGGTATGAACTATGAAGAGCCCACAGGACATTAGTTTCTGGGTTCCACTGATATTAAATTCCCTTTGCACCTGATATGTAGGAAGAAAAACCCAAACCGCTTTCCAACAGTAGTCAAATATGATGTTTTTATTTGCTCTTCCTATTGTTGTAGTTATTTATGCTTCAAGAGGGTGTTTAAAGGTTCTTTTTAAAAATTGTTATTATTTTTTTAGTATTACCCTGTAAAGAATTTTCACCTTGTGTATAAATTATCCTATACAAATAAATGTGCCTTTTCTTGTGATCCAGAAACCATCTTCATATTTATTTTGTTACTCTGTTCCAGGATGAAGAAATCCATGCAGGCCAATTAAAATGCATGAGGTTTTCCTGAACCACTCCAGAAGATTTTCGCCAGCATCATCTTTATATACATACAAAGGAAGATCTTCTGATATTCAGCACTTATCTTAGCTGCTCTGCTGCAGTCCTTTTGCATGGATTGGACCTCTTCATCATCAACACCATTTCATGGAAACATCTTCACCATCACCACTTATAACAAATGTTTCTAGCGAGAAGTATCAGTATATCTGAGAGTGCGTTTTGCTAAATATATTGTATATGCCTTTTGATTAGCCAGGAAATGTTTCTTATTTTGAAAATGCATATCCTGATTGCTAGTGACCAATGGATGGTTCCTTCTCCAAAAGTTAATTGACACCAAGGAATTTCGGTCAGTGCCAGCTAACCCCCAGACTGAACATAAGATGTAAATAAAAACCTAATAAAAATGTCGCTTCCAATGTTTGTAATGGAACTTTGGATGCCAGTAAAGATGGAGCATTTCCTGTGCTGTTGCTGTGATTGTGTGATAAACCAACTTGTGTTATTTCCTTAACTTGTTGCAGTAAAAAAAAAAGAAAAAACATCTGGTTCCCAAAAAGTTTTAATTGAGGAGCCAATACGTTAAGATTTACTGGAACCATTAAATTGAATCAGTTAACAAGAAGCGGGGGGAACAAATTGTAACGCTCCTCAGTCACATCTGGCAGCCTTTGTATCCTTTTGTTTTGTGTTAAAGAAAGATTCACAACAATTTGACAGTTGTTTTTCCTCTAGCAGTTATCAAACGGAGAACCACTGGGGGCTGCAGAGAAAATAACACTAAAATGTACATGAACATGACTGCCTACAGCCGCCATGCTTATAGCGATGCACTTTAAATGTGATGTATTCATATTTTGACAGCAAATCTCTGTAACTCTGCCTATTTACTTTCATCTTTGTTTTCTGTGTTTTGGTATTTTTGATCACTGAATGTTTAGCTGCAGCAATCTGTTAAAAATTGGGAGATTAATCCATATATTCATTTTTACTCTCCTGCTCATATGTAATAGTAATTATATTCAAATGTTTTATTTTTGTACTCTTACACATTTATATATTGCATTTAAACATTTAAAATGAAGGAACTATACTCACACAACTGAGCCATGCAGCTTTTTTTATATTGTGAAACTTGTATTCATCTGTTGAGTAAATAAATATAAAAAAATCAATGTTTTAATGTGGTTTCCTGTACATTCTACATCATTACACCTGAACAAAAAACTCCTACTCTATGTTACTCTTTACATTTAGTGCATGCAGCTGCTGAAATTCTATAGTATCTATAGGTCAGAGGATAAGTGGAAGCCTTTCATGTTGGAACTTGTGTTTGGCTCTCCTCGCACAGGAAAATTAAAAGCATTGACAATGATCCTGACTCTGATTTAACAATTAACTCAACAAGCAGCTATTAGGAAATATTACAGCTAAATGAGATGAACTTTTAACTCCCCGTCCCTAAGGGCATTTTGTGAACAGAACACAGCAGCAATATAAGGGGGAATAGCTGACAAAAGCATAACGGATAACTGCAAGTGGTGGTCATTCTTTATGACCAGTTTGAACAACATTTAGTGGAATGGTAGCAATGTTTTGAAATGCAAAAGAGGCAAATATTTAGCTCTAATCATTTGACAAAAATGTTTTCCTTGAACTGAATGCACAGTTTCAGCGGCATATCTTGTAATTCTATTGACTATTTTCTGAACAATCAATGCCTCAGGTATAATTTCTCCAGCTGACTTCTGTAGGGGTGAGGATATGTCATTTTCTGATCACTTAGCATAATCTTTGCAATATAAATTATAATGCGCTAATTTAAGAAAGATCTAGGATGGCTCCAGCTTTGACAGTAAAACATGAAGAGCCAGGCATAATTTCATCAAAATGCATGTTTTTGGCAAAAAAAAGACCCCTGAGACAATACTGATGCTTTTTGGTGACTCACATCAGCCCAATGTTTACAGAAAGAAAATAAACCTTGAAAAAGTATTTTCAAAAGTAAGAACTCTATAAGTACTGTAAACAACGAGGATATTTGCTTTTATTTCAGAGCTGCTTTGCTTTGTCTACATAAGAAATCTTGAATCAATGCAGAGGACAAGAAAATCAGAAGATTAGTAAGGCGGCTGGCCCAATATCAGAAAGTTCTTTCAGTTGCATTTATCAAACTTCTAACAAAAAAATGACATAAAAAACATAAAAAAAGAACTGATTTATTCATAAAGCACCTTTTATGCAGCTGGATCTTCATCCTACTTAAAATTCACATATCTGAAAACCCAGATTTGGAGATGCTCTGTAGGAGTAATCTAAGTACCAGTTTGGAAATTACATTTCATTGTTTACCAAGAAATGAAATGAAATCTACTTATATTTAGTTACTTGGAAAAGCATATTTAAGCACTTCCACAAACCATTTCAAGGGAACGATTTTTCCAACCCAAAACTAGAATAACTTTTTCTGTATTCTTGTCAAAAACTGCCAAAGTATCCTTTTTTTTTTACCATGGCAGAGATAAACAACATTGAATATGCAAAGTATAGAATCATGCACCAGTAGCAAGAATGCCCCCACTTTCAACTAGTACATAACTACCCATGCAAGAAGAACCTGTGTTTGAATTATTAGAGATGCCAGAAGATTTTTTTGGGGGGTAATGATAATATTTAACTATATTATAGGATCCTGAATCTACAGCATATTCAGGTCAGAGAACCGTTTTGTCATTTTACAGAGTTTAGATTGCTCGCTGGCAGCTATTACAGGAAAAGGTACAGCCACAAATTGGAGAAAACATTTTTTTTCCCTGTATATAAATCCTTTATATGTGAAATCAGCTAAATCACTCATCAAAAACAAAGTCTGGTTTGTGGTAAATGCCCACTAAACAAAGAGAGAAGCAATTAAACCTTCATCCGTTACAGTTTTTTTCCAAGAACCTTTGTTTTTCTGTTGATTGTGGAAGGACACCAAAATTTTTCCTGCACCTGTATTTGTTCACTTGAACTACTTCAAATAATTTCCCTTAAAGACTTGCAAAGCTAAATGTCATTTCGCTTTTATCATCCACATTTTCATTTATCCTACCTCAAGTATAATACTGACGGATGAGTGTGGGCCGCACAGGAACACACAGAAAATATAATAGAAAGAAGTTGTTTGTAATAGTTCCTAGGATCAGTGCCTCCACCCACCAGTTAAACTATGCAGGTGCGCTTACTGACGTCTTGAAGCCTTGTTAATTTAAGTGGGGGTGTTAGAAATCTAACTTTAATTTTCATGGGAACACAATATTTTTTTCACACTTAAAACGCTAAAGGTGGAATTTTAACTCAGGACTGCTACAGTTACAGAAACAATCAATATCAGGCAAACAATATCAGGTTTGCTCATAAAGGTCAATAGGTCATAAAAAACTTTGTCTGTGGATGGAGTGACAACAATTAATAGATATTGTCTATTAGCAAAAGAACAGATATAACATACCCTTGCATATACTGCTAAATTCTGCTCAAGAGCATTTACTTCCTTCTTATTGTACTTCCAGTCAAATACTAAACTACATTTTATTGCTCTGCAGAGACATTAAATTTGAGTTTTGTCTAAACAAAAAAACACAACAAAAGGATTTCTAAAACATTAAGCTTTTAAAACTATTTTATTCTAATAGAATCTGCTGTATTAGAACCAAAACAGAGTGTTCTAAAGTATAGAGATGTTTTTGATTGAAAAAGTTATGGAAAGATGAAGAAAAATAAATGCATCCTTACATCTAGTTTGCTGAAGTGGAACAGAGCGGCGTGATTATATAAATGTTCTGCAGATATCATCATGGGGTCTTGTTTGTACTTGAGGCTAACTGGGCAACGATCCTAAATAAACAGAGCGTAGATCTATAAACCCACAGTACTTCTCAAAATCACAGCTAATAGCAAGAGACAAGTACTTACCGAACATTTAATCAGCTGTGGCTTGATGAAGTGTTGTAGATAATAAATTGTCCAACAAAGGGTAAAAGTTTAAATTCCAGCCAGAGGCTACAGAGTAAATAAGACATTGCTGTATTGACATATCACTACTAACACATATATGAATGTACAAGAGGGTTACTTCCTAGATTTTAATAAGTAAGAAACCTTCACAATGGATTTAGGTCACTGTGTTAAAAGGCTGTAAAAAGATGGATGGCCTGTGCAGGATCTTAGCAAAATCCCAAAGGCTGATTTAAGAACACTGTCTTGAATGGTATGATGTAGTTCCCTGACTGATTTAAGCATGCACAAAACTTTGGTGTGATGCAAAAGTGACAGGTTCTCTGTGAATTTTAACTGTTGTCATCCACTTTAATTGTTCAGACTGTATATATGGGGAATGACTATGTTGGCTGTTTGTCAGTGCTGAAACCTAATCACACCAACGCCACAATGGATGCATAATTAACGTAACGCTTAGATATACCCATGAGGTCCTAACATCTCCAACAAGGATTTCATCAAGCTGCTGATATAAACAATCCTTACTCTCCACATGTTTTTTGTGTCTATACTTGCTTAATCTTCAAAGGTTTTTGCTGTGCCTGGTACATTTCTGAGCCATTGGTAAGAAGTTGGATGTAGTTGGTTGACCAGTCTCTTACAGAGCATAGAGAGACAATGAATCATGAATTCACACACTGGTTAATAAGGACAATTTAGAGATACCTACCATTTGTGTTTTTATATTTTATATTGAATTCATTGGAATGACATCCCTGAATTTTTTTATGCTGCTAATCAGCAAAGTAATGCTGTCTTCCGCACAAAGACTCTGCTTTTTGGTATAGGTCTTGAAGGCTCTCATATACATGGAAATTCTATAGATTTTGGGCAAACATTAAATTGCAGATGAGATAATCAAAGGATTGTATTTGGAGGGTAAAGTAAAGAGCAAGGAATATTGCATAGAAAATGGCAAAACAAATTTTTAAAAAGATAACACACTGTTGAGAAAAATCTCTGTGCCATTCAAAATCATAAGTTCATATGTTTTCTGGCTGACCCTTTATATGTTTTATTAAAGGTTTAGTAAAGAATTTTTGCCTATTTAATGTGTGCAAGAGCATGCATGAGCCCATTTCTTTGCAAGCAAGATTTGCAATTTTTCCACAATGTCTGACTCCCCACCATTAAGTGAAAATGGGGACAAGCATGTAAGACGGCCCTACATAAACATATCACCAGAATGATTGATAATTAGGAGGACCACTTATTTTGATGATCCACCTGGAAAAAGAACATCCTCAACTATTTTAATAATTTTTGCTTTTTCTATTTTCTTCTTCTCCCCCTTGTTATTATGTTCGAAACTTTCTTGCTGCATGATGTTGTTTCTTTTGTTTTAATAATTGTTAAAAAGATATTGCCATATTATTTCATTCCTTTCTGTTTAGTTCCTTGACTCAATTTCTACATTTGGATTAACACATTACAGCTCATTTATACTTTTCCTGTTGGTTTGACAGCTTTTGTGTACTTTCCTGAGTTTCCCTACTCTCCTTCTGCCTTAACTGTTCCACATTACTACTTGATGTACTCGACTCTATTCCACGTCACTTCTATTATTCACTTTCACTTAGTATTTAAGTACATTTTCTGTTATTGTTTTTTCTGGACATCCCATTACCATTACAATTTCTCTGTGTATGAATCTGCTGTAGAATCGATTTTTCTTTTGTATTTTTATAAAATTATCATGTACACCCAATGTTCCTCTTTGCACCTGGGTCCTACTTTAAATCAGCACAGCATGACAGTATATCCAGTCCCTGGCTACACTATAAGCCAAAAAAACATTGGCTAGTGTGTTTTTAACAGAGGCTATGTCCTCAAACAGTATATAGATGGATCCTGTAATTGACAGAATTGCAAAACTTTAAAAACAATGGGAAAACCAAGAATCAGGCACAGACACATCATAGTGGCAAGATGTGAGAGAAGAAATATGAAATTCATATCCTGCATTTTGTACAGAATTCTACTGGGTTTTAGAGTTCGACCATTTTGTCAGGGGAAAATTTGACACTTTGAAAGAAGAATAAAGATTTGTTATGCGATATGGTGGGAATGACACAATAATTAGGGATGCGGTGAGTATCTGTGCTCGTTTCACTTGCAGCGTGTATTCCCACCA